ACTTTCCAGCCACCGAGACTCACGGTGAGATCTAGACTGTAAAAATTCAGTTGTTAGGAAAGGTCACCACCCTCTGGAGTCCGACAGGTTCCATGAATGACTTCGTCGGACGCACAGTGAACATTCAAGATCCAAAACCGAGCTTTCTCGATCTCTTTCTTTGTGACAGGGCCTACATTACCAGGTATCCACCCATACCATACCATTTCAACAATAACATTCGTTCAATTTAGTTACCAGGCTCATCATTAGTGAGCTACATTAATTAACGCTGCAGGCAAGTGCTTTACAGACCGAGAGTGATAGTAGGGATCTTGAACCGGGCAATCAAGAAGTCGTTCGTACAATGTAATCTCTTCAGTGATGTATGTCATGTAAGTAAGAGGTCAAACTGAATCCAGAGGGCAATAGCAAGGCGTTTCAAGAGTACATTAGAATACTTATAGTGAATGATGTGCTGGTCAAAGAAGACGTGCCTCCCTGCGCAAGGACTTTGCCTCGTCGAGATCATTTGAAGTGCCCTGCTGTTCAAAACGAGTTTCAAGGGCATCGGCAAGGTTATTGAGTGACCGGGAGCGACGTGGATGAGGTGCTGGCCGAAGAAGAAGGGCGTCTCGGTACAAGGAAATTGCTTCATCAAGGTCATTTGAAGCACCCTGCTGTTCAAAACGACTTCGAAGGGCAACGGCGAGGTTATTGAGTGATGAGGAGCGATCTGGATGAGGTGCTGGCCGAAGAAGAAGTGCCTCTCGGTGCAAGGAAATTGTTTCATCAAGGTCATTTGAAGCACCCCGCTGTTCAAAACGACTTCGAAAGGCATCGGCAAGGTTATAGAGTGATGCAGAGTGATCTGGATGAGGTGCTGGCCGAAGAAGAAGTGCCTCTCGGTGCAATGAAATTGCTTCATCAAGGTCGTTAGAAGCACCCCACTGTTCAAAACGACTTTGAAGGGCATTGGCAAGGTTATTGAGTGATGAGGAGCGTTCTGGATGAGGTGCTGGCCGAAGAAGAAGCGCCTCTCGGTGCAAGGAAATTGCTTCGTCAAGGTCATTTGAAGCACCCCCCTGTTCAAAACGACTTTGAAGGGCATTGGCAAGGTTATTGAGTGACGAGGAGCGATCTGGATGAGGTGCTGGCCGAAGAAGAAGTGCCTCTCGGTGCAAGGAAATTGTTTCATCAAGGTCATTTGAAGCACCCCGCTGTTCAAAACGACTTCGAAAGGCATCGGCAAGGTTATAGAGTGATGCAGAGTGATCTGGATGAGGTGCTGGCCGAAGAAGAAGTGCCTCTCGGTGCAATGAAATTGCTTCGTCAAGGTCGTTAGAAGCACCCCACTGTTCAAAACGACTTTGAAGGGCATTGGCAAGGTTATTGAGTGATGAGGAGCGTTCTGGATGAGGTGCTGGCCGAAGAAGAAGCGCCTCTCGGTACAAGGAAATTGCTTCGTCAAGGTCATTTGAAGCACCCCCCTGTTCAAAACGACTTTGAAGGGCATTGGCAAGGTTATTGAGTGACGAGGAGCGATCTGGATGAGGTGCTGGCCGAAGAAGAAGTGCCTCTCGGTGCAAGGAAATTGCTTCATCAAGGTCGTTTGAAGCACCCTGCTGTTCAAAACGACTTTGAAGGGCATTGGCAAGGTTATTGAGTGACATGGAGTGATCTGGATGAGGTGCTGGCAGAAGAAGAAGTGCCTCTTGGTGCAAGGAAATTGCTTCGTCAAGGTCATTTGAAGCACCCTGCTGTTCAAAACGACTTTGAAGGGCATTGGCAAGGTTATTGAGTGATGCTGAGCGATTGGGATGAGGTGCTGGCCGAAGAAGAAGTGCCTCTTGATGCAAGGAAATTGCTTCATCAAGGTCATTTGAAGCACCCCACCGTTCAAAACGAGTGTTAAGGGAATAGGCAAGGTTATTGAGTGACTGGGAGCGATCTGGATGAGGTGCTGGTTCCAGACCATGACGAAATGCAGTAATTTCCTTGTCCAAGTCTCTGTTAGATTGGCTTTGTTCATGCAATCTGCGATAGGCAAACCCTAATGCCTTCCATGTCCCCTTATCATGTGGCTGGGTTTGTGTGGCAATCTTGAGACACTGAATGTGATATGACAGTGTGGTGACATCTTGATTCCCTATCATAACAGCTACCTTATAAGGTAGCACAGAGTTTTGGATGCCTTCAAGAGAATCATGGCCACCCTGGAATCTGGCTGCGATACAAGGTAGAAACAGTGTAGCCCAACGATGCATCGCTTCCTCCGATATCAGATCCATACCCACCGTACCACTCAGTGCTGCCAATTGTTGATGTGGGGTTCCACTTGAAAAGTGAAGAGGCCAAAATTTGACAACATATGGTTCTACACCACGAAGCTCTGTGTAAGTGCAAGTCTTTCCCCGAGAAGATGGGAGTAAGTCGCCAAAGACAATCTTGATGCATCTCTTCGCCAGCATAGAGTTCGCTTCTATAGTGCTAATAGCTTGAAATGTCTGGTCAACATTGTCTGTGGTGATGAATTCAACAAATGATGCATGGAATCGTTGTGACGCCGGTGATATGACATTAGTTTTGGGATCACCCTGTGTCTGCAAGGCTGCCAGCCGCTGGTGAATCTCCTCTGTGGCAGGCCCAGGTATGCCTAAGAGATGTGCAAAATCACCAATTGGTAGGGCTTCCTGAAGAACTACGGTCGCCGCAAGGAAGTCTCTGAGTATCCCTCGAATGCGTGGTGGGAAAAGGGTTGAAATAGCACCGCGATATAGGCGCTCAAGCTGCCCATCTTCTGGACCATCTTTCCGATTGACCACCTTCTCTTCAGATGACAGGAGTTGGTCGAGTATTTCGTGCGGATATCTAGTGTCAAATTTATTTGTTACCAATAATCGTGCGGTTGCCGCCCAAATAAGAAGACCATCTGCACGAGCTGCCAATCGATGGATTTTGACATCATCGGGCTTGCGCCCTTTCCAATCAACATCGCCCAACAAGAAGTGCTGATGGAAGTAATGTGCAATAACTGTCTGTGAGGCTGGTGGAAGAGGGTATTTGCGAGTTGGCATTTTATCAACTGCCCGTTCGATGGAGTAATTGAAGCGACTTGTCAAGACAAATTTCAAAGGAGAGGGCGATGGAATGTGCACAAGTTCTGCCAGGAATGACTCATAATTGCGCCATTCATCCAGACCATCGACAACAACAACAAGCTGATAAGGATACTTTAGTGCGCGGATGGGGTCGAAAATATATGCCGTGAAATAATCCTTGAGCCTGTCATGCGGGCCATTGAGTGTCCTTGCAGCGTCAGCAATATTAATGATGGCTTGCGGATACATCGCGCCGAGCTGCCTGGAGATCATCTGAATGACCCTCTCGGGGGACTCTGTAGTAAGATTAGTGAGAAATACAGCCCCAGCAAGGCGGTCCTCCGATTTGAGAAGGTAGACCAGTTCCTGAGTGACGGTCGATTTACCTAGGCCAGCAGCGCCATGTACCCACAGGACAGACTCTGGGGCATCAGCTATCCAGTCGGAAATGTCCCGTATAACGTCATCTCGACTTTTCTCAAGATATTCGTTGCGTGTGTAGTCCGGATGGCTTGGCAGGCTGTTCAGTGACACAAAATCTGGATTATGTCAGTTCGGTTCACCACTCGGTCAGGTATCTCGGGCTCACCAATTTTCCGGTTGAGTTCCTCGGTGTCCAGCTTTATATTGACCGAATTTTCGGTCTAATTGCAAGTTCGTAAAGAATTTTACATACGAGGACGTAACGAACCTGAAACAATTGGATGGCGTCGTTCAGCCTTACTCTGATAGCTTGAAGGTCACCCATGTGAGCGCTTTGTTGCAAGTACCGTGAAAGCAGATTGCGACGACTAAGTTCGTCACATTCTCCAGCTATGCTTCCGAGAGTCCTATGTAAATTTCGGGTCAATACGATATAATTTGCGGATGTGACTGCTGTTACCCACTTTATAAATTCGTTCAAGGCTCGTTTGAGTTTCTCTGATGGCCCCACCGTACTCTCAGAACAAATAACAGCGCAAGAGACAACAAATATTCCAGCTGTAGCGGCTACTTGATTCATTTCGTCGTAATTCGAGCGAGTTTGCTGATGACACTGAGAATTACAGTAACTGAAAGGAACGAGGACATACCGAGACGGCCTGCAACATACTAACGACTTTTCCAATCAATGGTTGGACCCATGGTACTGGTATTAAAGAGCTGGCTTCTTCTACGAGGGTGAGGATGGTTATGGTTGTCCCGATAGTTATATCGAGGATTTTGGATAGTCTCTCCGAAGTTCCAAGTTCGCCATCGCTCACGAATGAAGGCTGAACGATGTGTGAATGACGTGAGATCGGGTGGGACAAACCGGAATGTCGAAACTGACCTTGATCCTATCGATATCTTCGTTTATCATGACCATCAATCCATCCAAGGATTTTCCGTCGCCATGTTGGATAGTCTTGAGCTTTGCAACTGTCCTAAACGACGGATCGATACATTCAGGACGATCAAGTCTATAGAAGATCAATGCTGAATTCTTACTCGTTGAAGGCCGTTATTGCCCGTGTGGCTTCTGCACGCTGGGCATCAGTAGCAGATGCGAGTTGGACAATGAACCGAGCACAGGTTTCGAGAATTTCGGTAAGCTGGAGGATAAGAATGTCAGAGATCGATATGCATGATACATTGTAGACATTACTTGGCCTTCCGAGTCCTTATCGCGGATGATAACGATAAGCTGGATGAGCCTCTTGAGTTCGGGACTTTCTTGAAGGGTGTACGCGATAGAGAGAATGGCCATATCTCTCTTAAAAGATTTGCCCTTCGCGAACTTTACTTTCTCCAGCTTCGTCGATGTCGGTTCTGTATCGTGAGGATTCAGCACCGGGGGTTCTATGTTGCCTGCCGACTGTGGTAGTGGTAGGGCGGTAGTCGGAGGCTGTGTCGCTGCTATGTCGATGGAAGACGACTCGGTGGGTTGGGGGGTCCTGGGTCGCACTGGCAAATGAAAGAATGTCATCAACTTATCACGTTTACGATCCCGCGTCGGTTTAGGTGCCATAACTGGGCAAGTTGAAATGGGTGTAAAGAGGAAACGTTGTCGACCGCACTGTCCTGTGAGAAATGACACCGCCCTCGAGGCCTCGAGGACCACGCCAGATCGGAGGCTTTAGTACCACGTTTCTCAGAGGGTATATTCCGGAGCGGTCCCAGTAAGGAACAAATGGTTTGTATTGGTGTAATCGGAGTTGGATGTCCGAACCGACTCTAGCATCACTGGCACTGGCGATATATGTAAATCGCATTCCTACCAAAATCAAGAATACCCATGTCAATGCCACCTCGCCTTGTCTTCCTCCTGCCCTTTCAACTCCGCTTCCGATTCTTCCTCCCCGTCAAACCCACCACCAATAATCCACATATATTCCTTCGGTGCCTCCCGATCCACACGTCCATCGCCAGTTTGAGGGGTACTTAGAGCAGGGAAGAGCGTCTTGTTCCAGGTATTCTTTCCCTTCCCCTCCACTCATAATTACGAAAAACACTCCTAGGCAACAACCGCATATCACCTCCACCTCCCTCTCCAGGCCTATACCCCTTCCTTAACGAACGACCCATTCGATGGGCGTCGACTCGGGTTGGTCGCTTTCCGAAATACGGGGGGGGGGCTTGACACCGATGGGGTGGGGGAGGAAGGGAACCTTGTGGATTTGCCGCTCATCGCGCTGAGTAATGGGCAGACGAGGAGAGCGAGAATTGCGAGGGCTGTTATGAAGGCTCCGGAGGTGCTTTGAGCCGCTGAGTAAGTGGTTCTTCGTCCTTGCATTTCGTCGTTCCCCTTCCTAAACGTTCTTTCATTCTTTTTTCGCTTCTTCTCCTTCCTTTCCTTGCTATCCTTCGTATTTTGCATTTTTATTTCCCGTGCTTCCCGCCGTTCACCTCCCACTTTTTTCATTGCCTAGGCACGTTTCAACCCTCCCTTGGTCTCTCACTCGCGTTCCCTCACGCAGGCTGCCCTCCATATCCCTGCCTCATCATCGTCTTCTTCGTCCTCCTCTGCCACAACTCACCCCACCGCACGCACGCCTTGCACCCAAGAAAACGCACACCCACTGCACACCTCCGCACACTGATTGGCGTCGTCTCCCCGGAACTATTCAACGCTTTCCCACGTCGTCATCCAGGCATGACAGTCTGGGGAAACCGTTGTTACGGGTTTTGGAGGGGGTTTCGTACCGCTCAAGGGGAGTGAGAGGGTGGGTGAGATATGTGTGGGTGAGGAGGAACTTGGGTTTGAGGTTGGGATGGGAAACGAACCGAGTGAGGTGGAGAAGGAGAAGAGGAGAAGGGAAATTGGAGGATGGAGAATCGCTAGGTGCTATCTGCCCTCCGACCAAGCGCGTGGTCGACACCAGAAACTACAGGAACTCCCGAGACGGGAAAAGACTTCGCATCCCGTTGCTTCACGACCCTCTCCCCTGGGAAGCAGTGTATCGTACTCCTCATGCGCGCCTTGGTCTCCCGGCCTCCGTTGGTGCTCCT